GTTGCTAATTCGAGAATATTTATCGTTAAGAGGCTCTATATATAACTGCTCATAACAGTTCGCATGCTATTTACACGGGTCACCCCCGGTTGCAGCCCCGGTGGCGGCACCGTCAGAACGTCCATAAAATCGCGTTCCAATAAACTCTTCCTGGTTGCACGCGCGCACGGATACGCTAATTTCCAGATATTCGCCGATAATTGGCTTAATCGCGCGCCACGTCGCGCGTGTCGAATTAATCGTACATCCCGTATTGCGGCCGTATCCGATCTAGAATCGTAAATTCGTTCGAGAATTCGCACGAAAATTAGCGTAAACGCCCAATCGGCGAGTCAAACGCTGTCTCGAGAACTTACCGCAAACGTTCACGATTTCTTATATCTATATAATAAGGACGTTAACAATGAACAGGATTTTTTTTAACCATCACAATCTCTTTAGGTATGACATAATCTTTCATAAGTGCAGTCACAGTCGGAAGCAATAAAACCGAAAACCCAATCCTTTCTTCGAAAAGAGATTTTTTATAGCTAGCTATGACCATGATTTATATTTAACTTAAACTCTTTGAACGAAACATCTATTCAAAATTCCAAAATATTTTTGTGCGTGCGACTTTTTTTTTTTAATACAATTAAGAATCCATAACAATTTCTTCCTAAATAACAATTTCTTTCTAAATTGTAAACGAGTATAATTTACATTCATAGAAAAACGTCGTTCCAATAATTTCCTAGAAATTTGTACACAAATAGCGCCTCAATTATGTATAATAATATTATAAAAAGAACAATTAACAAATTATATGAATCAAGCAAACATGATAATATTAATTATTTGTAATAAATTATTTATAATGAAATTAAATAAATTAATATATAACGTTGTCAATATATATATTTTTAAACTTATAGTCTGTCAAGTAAGCGTAGTCGATCTTGCTCATAGCTAATAAAAGATATGGCTCTAAATCTTTCGTGAGTCAATAGGTCTTTGATGCACTGTCAAGAAAAATTCGATTGTCTTTGTTGATTTCTTGTAAGAGAAACGCGTTAAGGCAGGAAAATAACAATTCCAAAATCGCAGCAAGCTCTTTACCGAGTGAAAGAAGCAATCCGGCATCGTTATATTGGATTCGCTGTCGCAATCGCCCGAGACAAATCCCATCGAAAACGTGTGGGCATACATTAAGTACAAATTTCATGGAAAACGCACGTACACTTTGAAGCAATTATTTCGCGAGATTCATCGGATTTGGAGGTCCTTGACGCTAGAATACGTCATCAATTTGGTCACTCAAATGCCTCGGAGATGCCAAGCAATTTTTATTGACGCCGGACGCATTAATTTGAACATTTTTTAAATAACTTTTTTATAAATTAATTCGATCACGCTCTTACTTAACAGACTGTATCTCAATGATATTGTGGCATTATGTTTACTTTACAAAAATATTTGTCTAAATTAGAAAAAAATGTAATGTCATATTCTATTTGCATAAAGTCTATGTAACTATGTAATTATAGTTGAGTCGCTATTTCAGTATCAATTAATAATTCACATTTATTATTATCGTGACTATATTTTTTTTAATCGTATTCAATACTACTTTCGTACTTATTACTTTAAAAAACTAGTTGCAGGTATTTAAATTTTATAATTATCATAAATATAGTTGCCAGAACTATTTTGTTTTCTCTCAGTATAATAATAAATAATTATATTTATGTCACTTTACTTATTTGTGACAATTCTTAAAATAAAAATAAGAAAGCCAAATTAACCTGCATTTCATTGACTGATATTTAAAAAAAAAACGAAGCCTACAATAATAGCAATAGTAGCAAAAAAGCCTACAATAATAACAATAATAGCAAAAAATCTATAGAGAAGTGTACAATATAAAATATAATATATAAAATAATAGAAAATTGTTTCAGTTTAGCTTTATTCCATTCTCGTTATTTCCTTGTTATTTTCTCGTATCCGAAGAACGGAGAACGGCCGTTGATATCCCGTTTGATATCCCATGATTTCGCCGTTGCTGTGATTTGCGGACCGCGCCGGATCGGGGACGACTATGGATTTCGCATAAAGTAACGTTACATCGCGCATGCAAGTAAATTAGTCGCTTAATCAAACCGTTTAATCAGCGGCATGATCGCGACCGCATCTGGCCGAGCTGTTCGCGCCAATTATCTCTCGTCCCCCTTCCCCGACCCTCCTCGCTGATGCACCTCGTGCGCGCACCACCGTGCGATACACTGACGTAGCTAGAGAGGGGAAGATGCACTCTGAACGCGAGATTGTTGTAGAATTGACTAAATCTATCAATGCATCAGTTTTGCACTGATCGAACGAGCGCGGAGAGGATTCTGAACTTCTTTTTTTTTAAGGAAGATTTTAAAAATATCCAAAATATATATATGTACAAGTTTAGAAGAAACGTGACAAAAAAAGTTATCCAATTAATTAGATTATTTTTTTTAAATAATATATGTTTACCAAGCAATTTTGTTGCATATTTACTTTTTTATCTCTAAACAGTTTTTTTAATTATTTTAACTTTAATTTGTGCATTATATCAAATGAACCCTGTACGTTTTTTTAAATTATTGTAACAATTCTCATAAAAAATCGTTCTCAATGAAAAAAATTTCAATTTCAGTTCCAAAAATATTAGACTTTCATTGAATATTGATTGTGATTTATGACATATTATTAGATGTATAATAGTACTTAAAAAAGCAACGGAAATGCTCGAGTAAATCAATACTTTGCCAATAGCACATAAAAAAAAACTATGAACAAAGCAAAATTCACACTTCTTTATCCTTTTCACCAAATCATTTGAAGTAGAGTAATTTTTTTTAGGATGAATTCTTCGCACTTTCTAAAAGAAACAATGATAAAGCGGGAAAGCCAGAAATAATGAAAAGAAACTGTTTAGAAAGAGAACAATATGCAACAAAATATAACGGGAAAATCATCATTTAAAATTGCGCTATTGATTGATGCGCTTTTAAAATAAGTGAAAGTCGCGCTTTCTTTGTTAAGTAAAAGAATTTTTTTTAGTTTTCCTTAGTTTAACATCCACAAATACATTATATTTTAACAAAATTTTTTTATTTCAATAAAATTGTTTTTTCCGCGGATAACTATTATTACATAATTGTGCTGAGATTATATAATAAATAATCTTGCAGTCAATGTTGCTAAAATATTATACATAATAATGCAATATTATAAATGACATGAAATTTCAAAATCTCACAAGTTTGCAAATTGATATTAACAACAATTGTTTAAAAATTTACTTCATATTGCAGTAAAATTTCAAACATTACAATAATATTACAATGAATTAATTGCAAAATATAAATTTAAATCACTCGCTGAGTGATTTATTGTTAACTTTATACGCTGAGAAATTATTAATACAATCACTGACATTATCACAAAGATAGAAATGACTTTTAGAAACTTTTAACATCCTCAAATATCATCTTTTTACAATAAAATATTATCTCTTGGAAAACTGTGAGCAATATTTAAATCCACTTTCACTACTGTCATTTAGAAGAATTTATAAATTTTCGTCAGATTTTACGGCGATATTGATTACTAATATTTCGTGTCTTTTGTTAATAGTGCGTGAAACTTTAGTTTTATTTAATACAACGTGTAATAATTTTCAATGTTTAAAGAGCGTTATTAAACAATGATATAAAATAAAAATATTTTCTATTTTAATTATTTATAATTATAGATTCTGCTTTTTAATTTTTCTGAAAAACTAAGAATGTTTCTTTTAACAAAAAAAAGTTATTAATGGTTTTACTTTTAAGGTCCGTGAATAATCTCATTATAGTCATTTTCACTTTAACGGAGATTTCTCCAAGATTTACGATTTTATGGTATTTTTAAGCATTCTAGGTATTAGCTAAAGATTTTGCACTTTTAAAATTTCTAATATACCACATTATTATAGAAACTATAATAAAATATACCATTTAAAACATTACATTTATTGATTCAAACAAAATATAGATATCAAATACACTTTTTTCGATTTTATAAGTATTGTTAATTATTTTTTGTCAAAATTATATCTTTAATTTTATAATTACACTAATTTAAAAAGATTTCCTGAAACAACTTGAAAAAATTAGATTTTTTATGTAAATTTTTAGGTATTAAACGCAAATCTGATATTTAAATTTTTGTATCTTCTTTGTAAAATTATATTTTTGAATTTTTGTATGTTAGAATTTTAAAAGTAACAAATTATAAAATTCATAAAATATAATATACGAAAATAGCATATAATATTTTATATATAATATACATCAATATATTTTATTTTTATTTTATTGGATATAAAATAGCATTCACATAAATTTGTAACATTTATAAAATCATAGATATATAAACTTTTGAAAGTTATATTCATCATTTTTAGCATTCAAAAAAATTTACATGCGATCATCACATTATTTAAAATCTATGGAAAAGCAGAATTGTTGGTTGCATTGTATCTTTTGTTTGGAGATTACAATTGTAATAAGTTTTTATTGTTTCTTGGAATCTCGAAAAACCCAAGATTGCGAGAAGGACAATTCGGTCCTGCCATCTCCCACCAAGCCGCCTCGTCATACGCCTATGGCGTTACGCAACTTCGAGTTATTGGCTCCACCCCTCGTTGGAAGGGATACTGGAAGGCGAGGAATAACCGAGTCTCCCCACTCGGAGAGCGCTGAGAATGACGGTGATGGTATTATATATAAGCGGTGTTCGCTACTTTACGAACATAGTTCAAGTTTCTCACGTGGTTTAGTACCAAACAGATCGCGCGCAGGAGAAGAACTAGTCTCGTTGTCGTGCACGCGTGACAAGTGTGAATATTTCTCATTTATATTTCTCAGAGAGAAATCGCGAGAAGTGTGATCCCGGTTGTGAGTACTCCGGTAGAAAGGAAGACAACACATGTAAGTCACCACCTTTGATGCCCGTAAATTTGCGATTTTCGCGAATTTTTGCGTAATAAAATCGAGAGTTATTCTTTCACATTTATTCTTGTTTATTTTCTTGCTTAACTAACATTTCTCCCGGGATGTTTTGCGAAGTTCCGTGTTCGCTAAGAAAAATTTTCAATTGTAACGCATTACGGATAATAATATTGTACATATTTGTCATTCGCATCTTATGTAGCGTTCCTTGTACGATTTTCCGCGTCAATAACATACCGAGATGTAGGCGTTTAACGAAAAATTTTGAAATTCTAAATCAACAGACTCGCGTTATTCCGCGTTCGCATGCGTCTCGATGATAGAAAATTATTGTAATCGTTCGGACGTGCTTGCGCAAAATATTGATGATTATTAGTGCAACTAGCTGAATCGACAATGAAATAATATCTTTGACCGTCAACAAACACACGATCATCAGCTATTAATTAAAATCCCGTTTTAAATTCGTATGATGGCTTGCATTTTTCTTCGCTCGATATTTGTGATTTTGTTTAAGGAAATTCCGATCATTTCGAAGTTCTCAATTTAGCATATTAATGTCAAACACATACGGATGTTCGAATATTGGCGGCGGCCGAGCACGTGTTATATACACGAGTGACGCAACAGAACAAAATGATTAACATACACGTATGTTTTGGCTGTAGATTAAAGTGACAACATGAAGAACAATCACTACGAGGAAGAGAACGACGACAATATGGAGGAGGAGGAAAACATTATCGTCGACGGGGTGAATAATTCGTCGCGCAGCTTGCATGTCGATAATGGTGAGTTTCATATGTTTTTAAAGAGTCGTCCAGCATTATAGGATGCATTATTGATGCATTTTCCCCCATTATTAACTGCGCGTTTCTTGATTAAAAACTAAAACATTTAATTTTGTATGTTAACTCGGACATAGCCTGTTATGTAAATAAAAGATTTTGTTTTGCTATTTTAATTGTTTTCTTATGATGCTGGATTTACCTTGTATGTACGATAAAAAAAAAAATATGTCAAAATATCAATATCTGTACTTATTAGTAAAAATTTATAGTACGACATAGTATGACAAAAAAACTGTATTTCGTAATATTAATATCTATGCTTATTTATAATAATTCGTACTGCACATCTGTAAATATCGATATCAAATTCGATCTTTATATTGTCCTTCTTAAACATTAACTATTGATTACCGATGATATTGAAATCCGAAGTCAGAAATAAAAAGTACCTATATTACAAGATAATATATCATAACCGATAATATATCATAATGAAAAGAAACGAGAGAAAAAAAGGTCGATAATTGCTTTTGCGAATGAAGATATTAGATTTTATGAGTTATACATCAAAATATTGAACTTTTGGCATTCGTAGATGCTATTACCTGAACCGAAATAAATTAGCTTCAAACCTTAAACGAAATCCATTGAAAAGTTAGTAAAGAACTGTAAAATTTATGAGGGATAATAGAGCTACCTGGAAAACATCTCAATAGAGAAATATAGATTCATCTGTCCTTAAGTATTTTAAGCGACGAAGGGTGTGTAATAGAAAGTATCAATGCGAGAATATGCAACCGGAAACACACAATATTAATATTAAAAATATTATTTTTTATCATTTTAAAATAATTCGTATTTTCTCCTGATATCAAAAATAGAATTTAAAAATCCGACTTTAATATTCCATCAGAATAAAAAAAAATAATTAGAAAATTCTAAAATCAAATTATCCAAAATCAATGTTTTTAGTAACGAAAAAAAGATATTAATTTAAATAATAAAAATGATCAGAGACTTCTATTCATTAAAAACACAAGATTTTTGCCGGAAATTATAACTTTACTGCCACGTGGTCTTCTTTCAGAAAACAGAATTTCTTCACGTGATTTACATTATTACACGTGGTCATGCTTTCATATGTATATCCTGCAAACTGTTAAATGTGGAAAATTTGTATAGGGACAATAAGACAACATTGGTTAGGAAAAAACCTAAGAAGACTTTTCTCCCGAGTACCATAATTCTTCGATTTCTCTTTTTTACATGCCTGAAATCGCCTGCTGATCAGTTTTTGAATCGCTTTTGACAACATGATCTACGTTACTTACATTATGCATTCTTTCTCATGAGAGGTTTGTGACAGACTTTAAGTATTTTCTACTTCTGAATGCAACGCCGTTGTCACATTTGCGACATGTGCGTCATTGTGTTGCATTAACGGCAAAAGATAAACGCACAAATTTAACCATTAAGTATCTGTAAATTGTAACTAGCAACATCTCTTTTGAAAACTAAAGATATTATGCGTCAAAATTCTCTGAAGTTAGCGGCGTGACAAAAAAGATCATTCTCGGCAGCTTTCCGCATTTTATTTCCCTGACATTTTAAGATAGAACGACCTGAACGCTTTCGCAGTTTTGGCAAACTTTGAATGGGCAGAACGAATCTCTGTACTTAAAAAAAAATGAAATAATGTAGAATGAGTTTGAAATAAAAGCAAAATCGAATCTATTGCTAGAGAAATTTACTAATTAATTTACTATTTATTTATTTATTTTTTTTTACTATTTGCATATAATAATTTTATAATGAAAATTTCACTTTCACTTAAAATCCCATTCTCTCGTTTTTTTTTGTTTCTTTTTTCCGAAATAATTCGTCAACGTGGAAGATTATAATGTTCATTCTTGTCTCATGTAGAACCGCAACCGTCGACTTCGCGTGGGATTACACACCCGCCTCAACAGCAGCCTCAGCAACAACAGACGCCGATTCCTCCTATAGATCCTAACGTCAGGAGATACAGAACCGCCTTTACGAGGGAACAATTAGCTCGCTTAGAAAAGGAATTTACAAAAGAAAATTACGTAAGTCGGCCGAGAAGATGCGAGCTAGCCGCACAGCTTGGTCTTCCAGAATCCACGATAAAGGTTTGAAATACACTTAGATGTAGTCTAAAAGTTGTTTTTCTTCTTTTAAAAGATAGAATACCTTCGAAAAAATTCGATGAAACCGCGTATTCAAATGCATTGAAAATTTCGTGTTAGATAAAAAAATAATAAAAAAGATATCATAATAATCAAGGTCAATCTTCTTCATTGGATAAATGTTAGATTGATCGCCTTTGAGTCGATCGAGAATGAGCAAATATTTATTATGAGATTCGATACACAATGACCTCACGATGTAATAACGTTTTCCATTAGCGCTTTCGTGTTTGATTAGTATCGCAAGAAATCATCGAGAAAATTTTTCGATCATCTAACGATTATAAGCATGCTTGCTATGAATAAAAAAAGGTCGCTTCTTTCTCGCAGATTTTTATCCTTTTTTTCTACAATTTCCTTTCCCCTCTGAAATTCGTTTCTTTCGCAAGAATATTCAAATGAAATTATTCAAATACTCCGTGTATCTCGATTTAATTTCTCACACGACCGCCGTGCCGGCGAAGAGCCGGGGGCTTCGAGCACCAAGCGGCTTAATAGAAGCAATTAGTGCCGTTTTTGTTCGCGCGGGCCGCCGAGAGCTGCCGGTTGTTTCTTGCCGGTTGTTTCAGCTGCGGCCATATTTGATCGGCGATTATAGCCTTGGGAGCGATTCAGCGCCGCGATTCTTGGCCTTTGATCCTTCTCTCGCGTGTCCCGGTGGCTGGCAGTGCCGTAACGTAATGTCGCGAGAATTTCGTCGTGGATCAAAACGAGACTTCCTCACGTGGCGTTCGTACGAGCGGAGAATCGTATATCAATGTTTCGGTGACCGGTTTAGTTACGGCCCTGACCAAGGGGGGGGGGGAGACCGGTCGGGCGAAAGTGTTAAACGGCTCAATTAGCGACTGCCTCGCGGCCCACCTCGGACTTTAATGGATCTCTTAATTTCTCGTCTCGCGGCAGCTCGCACTCGCTTCGGTTGGCGGTCGTAAAACAGCGACGGGCGGCGGAGAGGAGAGGAACGACGGTAAGGTGTTAAACGACGGTAAACGTCCCGCACGAATTACCGGTATAATCGTTCGCCGCCTCCGAGAGTTGCCCACATTCGTGAATCCGCGTGTCCGACCGCTTATCTAAAGGTACACACCTAGCCTTATCTATTCTCGTTCTATAACAGACATGTCGGTTCCTATGCTCCAATATTCATTGTCGAACGGAAGCTGCGGAAAAGCCCCGCGTGATAAGTTTTTTTCAAAACGTTGAAAAAAAATTAAATAATTACGAAGAGGTAGAGTTAATGATTTTTACTGATTATACGGAATCCCTCATTCGTTGAACTCGAGATTATTAATACTAAGTAATTATTAATTAATTAGACGAAGATTCTGTCTCTTTACATTTGTTCCATCTAATTCTATATTACAAACCTTTAATTAGAACATCACGCTATATGTATATCATAAACACTTTTCGTAACGCATCTTGCGAATGATTACAATTTGATTATAGTCGAAAAGATTAATTACAATCGCGATCTCCTTTCATTACAGGTGTGGTTCCAAAATCGGCGCATGAAGGACAAGAGGCAGCGGTTGTCCATGACGTGGCCCTTCCACGTCGCGTATGCGACGGATCCGGCGATCGCGGCATCCCTGTTCGCGGCCGCCTCGAGCTCTCTCACGCACATGGGTTATCCGCCGACTATGTCAGCGACCTCGCATCTAGCCCCCTCGGCGACGGGGTTCTCTTATCAGCGTCTCCCGTTTCCGAGCCCGGTCTCCGCGCTCCATCGACCGCATCCGCGCAACCTGACCGCGCCGTATCTGTTACCATCGCATCTACCCCAGCCACCTGCCCTGCACGTCCTGGGCATTCCGACGCACTCGACGACTCTCGCCAGCCACGTCTTTCCTCCCATCGGCAGCTCGTCATCGTCCACCTCCATGGGCTTCCATCGACAGATATTCGGCTCAGCCGAGCTCAGCCCGGTCAACTCGGACACCTCGGACAACCCCAGCGAGTGCGAGTGCAGCATCAATGGCTGTCAACAGTCGCAGTCGCAACCGCACCACTCGTCTCAGCAGCCGCCGCACCCGCACGTGCACCATTCGCATCACCCGCGATGCCTGAACCCGAGCGTGACCTCGGCCGTAACCTCGAGTCTGGTGCAGCAACGCGATAGACTCAGCGGTGGCGATCAATCGCAGCAGGTGAGACTGAACGGTATGAGCATGCCGATTGTAACGGTAGTGCCGTATGACAACAATCCGAGCACTTCATACAATCACTTGGCGATTCCTTCGGGAATCTCATCGTTGCCGTCATCCTTGCCCTCGAACCAACCTGAGCAGTCGCAGCAACAGCAATCGCAGCAGCAGCCGCAGCAGCAACAACAGCCACAGCCGCAGCCGCAGCCGCAGCCCAAGTTGTTTCAGCCGTACAAGAACGACTCGACAGATGATGACAAGCCCAATCGTAATGGTACGATATAAATATTATAATTTTTAATATAAAGTAATAAAAAAACGAAATGAAACAACATGAGATATGATCCTGAATTTGCGTTTATTCAAATCATATCCCACTGTTCTGTATATATACTTATGTGCATGTGTACATATTTATATATATGTATATATTGCGCTCTTCCTAATTATTCAATCCCTATATACGTCGTATATCGCATGGTTATTATATATATATATTATAATATATATATTATAATTTGCATATATGTACGTTTTTGTACATATACATGTTTAAAATATTTATTTGTTTATTCACGAATTTACTCGAATTTACCTTGTAACAATAGTCTGACTATTTTTTTAATAATTGTTATAAATAGTGAATTAAATATAGTAATTAAACAAAGTAAATAAATTAGAGATCCGGATAATTAAGGAGAGCGCGCCCCTTAGATAATACGGCCAACGTCAAAACATGATAGTCGGTACAGGGTTTTCTTCTAACATTCACACTGTCGTAAGCTTCAAACAGCTCGTGTCTCTAAACTTTCGATTGCGCGTGCATTTCCGCAATTTTGCGAATTTGTCCATCTGCACAATTGAATCCTGACGTCGCTCCTTGAAGTATCGTGATATAACGTAACACAGTGTATACATAATACATCCGTGCTAATTATCCCTTGTGGAAATGTACATTTGTAATTTGTTATGGATGTATATGTATTGTAACGAAGTGATGACGGGTGAGGAAAGATAATGTGCTAGATCAACAATTTTTTATCACATTAATTTTAAGTTCAACATTATAGTTCAAATTATATAAAAATATAAAAAAAAATAAAAAGTAGAGTAGAAAAGAAAAAATAAATATTATACATAAATATGTATATATGTATATATGTATATATATTTTTTCTTTAATTTTTATGATATAATCATAATTATCGGGCAAAATTTGTTCAGATGTTTTCTATCAAACATATAAATAAGTGTTTGTGATATATGCCTTCATATATTTCTTTACATTTATTTATATATGTAGTACATGCATGAACACAAATATATTCAAAGTCAATAAATATTCAGATAGATCCTGATAAAATTTTTCAGTATCAATTTCTTTTGACATAGTGAAAAGATCGATAGTGAAAAAATTAATATTATTTGTACATATTTGTTATATGTATACGTATGTATATATATATATATATATATATATATATAATATTTTATTTTTTATTTTTTATTAGGTATATTTTAGATCTAAGGTTATAGTAAATAGGTTTTATTTTTTTTATCTTAAATTAGACATCTTTTATTCGGTTTTTAATTATCTTTTTATCTTTTTTTACTTTACTTCTAGTATAATTACAAAAAAAGTATTTTTTAATTCTGATTTCTTATTTCTTATTTCTTAATTCTTATTTCTTTTTTATATTATTACGAATAATTATTAATAATAATTATTATAAATTGATGATCTAGCACTTATCAGACTCCGATAAAGACGATAAAAGTGACGAGCTTCCGTTACTCCCTTCTCCAACCAATAATAATGGTGGAACTTTCTGTTGTTTCATTATGATTTTCTACATTTTTTCTATATTTTTCATTTTGCGACGAAACACAATGATTTTGTCATTAATATCTTTGTCATTAATACGAAACAAAATTTTCAATTTGAAAGAATGAATAATGAAACATACCGAGAGAATGAGTGTATAACCGAAAAAAAATAATATAAGAGGCGATTTATTATATTTCTGACGACTTTACTTTGTTAGTTCACTTTTATATGCGGAGCGAATGTTAGAAGCATATATTTATTAAAAAGAAATTGTTATTATAATCGGCGAAAAATTTTTAACGATGTAACAAGCGTCGCTATGTATTATAGTTGAAAATGAAATAAAGATCGAAATATACGGGTTAATAATTACTATGGAGTATCTTTTAATTAAACACGATTCCTCAGATCGATCCATATCATGAGATTTTATTAATTAAGAATTCCGAAAATATCATCGGCAACCGTGTCCTAATACAATATCGTTAATTTAACGTTAAATATTAATAAGAGCGAGAAAATTGAGTAAGATGCAATGAAAAGTTCCATAATTAAATTATAATATAAGTATTAAATTATTATTAAATTATAATTTATATAATTTTATTTAATTAAATTAAATTTAATTAAATTATAATTTAATTATCGATATCTTTTATTCCCTTTATCATCAATTTTAAATATTTAAAAAATATTTGTTTCGGAAAATTTCAAAAAATAGCCACTTATAAATTGTTGATACTTTTGGTTTTTGTTTTCTTTTTATAATTTTTAACTGTTTTGTTTGAAATAATTAAACATCTATGCGAAATAAACTTGACAAATGATGAAGTATATATCTTCATTTAAATCGCGTAACTTAATAAACCTGTACCTGTTTCCACATATCGATATTTTTCAACAAAAATTAATCAGAATTTTGTGCGCATAAATTATTATATTTAACGTAATCATATATGTTCCATAATCCAGTATAAACATTAAATATTATATTTGTATTTTAATATTACATAAATATATTTTTCATGCGCGTATACATGTGTATATAAAAAAAACTCTTCTATGAAATATCTCAATGTCTATTCAATCACATGTCTGTCACATCGGTATTCATTGTTTCGTATTAAGTAATAATTTTAATTTTCCCTTGCCCTTTTCTCTTCCTTCGCAGTAGCGAGGCTACATATTTCAAGGATTATTGCTCTCAAGATAATTAAATCTCTTCGCGTCGCGTTAATATCACGTCACTGAGCGATTTGCAGAAACGACGTCAGGATGGAACTTACCCGCGTACGGGACAGTCGCGTAAAGCGGAGACTCCGGGACGCCATTTTGCCGACAATAAAATATCCCGGATGCCCGGGGGCTGCCTCTTATCTTTCCTATTATCGATAGCTGGCCGTGGACCAATATGGCCACGGCAGCGGTTGCCATGACTACGTTCGGTATCTCGCTTCGGGACGGGGGCCCCATCATCCGTGCTATTATCGCGCTTCGCCGTAAATAAGGAGGAGGCACTCTCCCTCATCTTCGGAGGAACTCGGCTCCGGAACGCTCTCTCCCTTTCTCTCCGCTTCTCCTCCCCCTCCTCTCTCTCTCTCTCTCTCTCTCTCGCGCGCGATTGTGCGAAGGGTGGCGGGAGAATTCCATCTCGCGCCCACACAATATCGCACCGTTATTTCAGACTGAGCGAACGCTGATCGCGGGAAGATGCGTTTTCGAAAAAGAATGCCTTTTCATTTCTCTACACGTCGGGACGGAAACGACGCGTGTTGAGCGGCACGATGGGCATAAACGCCTTTACAGCACAATAAGAACGCAAGGTACGCGTCGTGATAAAATAAAGGAGAAAAAAAGGGACATTTTTCGTAACGTGGAATAATATGAAAAAAATATAGGCGTAACATAAAGAGATGACGGACGTGTATCGCGTTCATAATCATGAAGCACGTGGCGTTTCCACTCTTTTGTGGTCGGTGCGAAAGGAAGTTAGCGCGGTTAACGAATACGGAATAGTGAAACGTTCTCATGGGTGGGCGAATGGCAAATGGCCGATCAATGGGCGAAGGTCCGCCGCTCGTGGATGGAAGGACCGAGAAAATAGCGGCGATAATATCGCTGACGAGAGTCGCCGTATTGGCTGCCACCCAACGCGAGCAATTCCGGTCGGTCGACGAACGATAAGCCCGCTACGATCGCAACCCCCAGGCCTCACTCCGCGTCACCCCCCTCCGCCCCTTTCTCTTTCTCGGCCGTTACATGGAGTCGCGAGCGTACGCGCGACGCTCGAAGGCCGACCCTATCCTGGACCGGCCTGGATGGTCGGTGGAGATTTCATCCCCGAGATACAAGGGAGATAAGGAGATGCAGCGCTAGATGTAACGATCGCACGTGGCTATTACCGCACCACGTCGAATCGGCGCATCTTTTTGCGATCCGTCGACCTCGGAATCGAACCCCTCTCTCGTGACCTTGACATAATATTTTGACATGCTTGAGAAATAATAGACTCCTGACGAGGCTTGGCATTAGGAAATTATCATCTAACGCGTCATGTGATCTTGTTGTCTGAAAATCTGGTAGTTGTTGGAGAAAAAAATTATATCCTGTCTTCTATCTCGCCCTTGGATTGAATATCCAACCCTTATAAATTGAATATCAATTATGTAGAGCTTATACTCATCTAAGTTGTAACTATTCCGGACTATTATTTACTAAGTAGCCTGTAAGGGAAAAATTCTAAAAATTCTAAAAATTCGCTCAAGATTGTTAACATATTTTAGCATCATATACTATTATTAAAGAGAGAGCAAACTAATGAAGAGCTATTTTATAAATTTAATTTTTTCATCTTTCCTCTGTGTGATTGAAAATATGTCATTATTCGGCTCTGACCAATAATTTATCTTCTTTCTTTCTTTTTTAAGAAGAGAGAGAGACACTGAAGAAATTCTGGTTGAACAGTTTAGTTGCTAGGATATTAAAAGACAGAGAAAAAGAGAAAGTGAGAATATCCCGTAACGTCAACTCCCATATTTTTTTTTCTTTTTTCTCAATTTTCTGTTATACTCGTCCGTAACGCTCTTGGTAAAAGATGAATAAAACACATCTTATTGAAATGTCACTATTATGGCCAACGGCCAGTCTAGATTAGATTTAGTCTAAATTAAAGAAACGACTTATTTATTTTTTACGACTTATTTATTTTTTGCCGCTCTTAATATAACAAGTACTTTTTTTTAATAACATAAATCAACAAACGTTTTTCTATTTTTCTTGATATCCGTTGAGAAACAAGGATAAAACAATACTCGTGTCACTAAAGGGAGAAAGCACGGAATATTACTATTAATAATTATACCTTAAAACAAAGACTTTTTTGCAAATATGTTGAAATATCCACAAAAGAATTACTCTTTAATTACTTTTTCTATATCCACAATTGCTCAATTTAATCAATTAATACTAATATTATTACACGAAAACAGTCACAAATTTTTATTTAGCAAATAACTCTTTACACTTACTTATTTTTTTTAAAATCTTTTCTTATTAAACGATCGATTTCTTAAAAAACGATTGCTCAATCGTTTTTTTTCTTTTCATTGTTAAAGTTTTCATTTTTATTCGGTTAAGGAACAATTCTTTGGTATATGT